TACAATAATAAAAGGGGACTTCAACACCCCACTTTCATCAATGGACAGATTGACTAGACAGAAAATCAACAAAGAAACAACAGAGCTAATCTGCACTCTGGACCAAATGGACCCAACTGATGCCAACAGAACTTTCATACCACTGTTGCAGAATACACATTCTTTTCATGGAACTCTCTCTAGCATAGACTAAATGTTAAGCCATAAAGTAAGTCTCAGCAATTTCAAAAAAATTGAAATCATACCATGTATCTTTTCTGACGATAATGAAATAAAGCTGGAAATTAGCAACCTAAGCAACTCCAGAAAATGTACAAACACATGGAAACCAAAAAAAAAAAATGCTCCTAATTGAACAGTGTGTCATAAAGAAACCAAAAGAGAAATCAAAAAATTCCTCTAAATGAAGGAAGATGACAATATAATACAATATCAAATACAAAAACTGTTAAGAGAGATGAAGAGGGACACTATATAATGATTAAGGGATCAATACAACAAGAAGATATAACAATTATCAATGTATATGCACCTAACTACAGGGCACCGGTTTATCTAAAAGATTTGTTAAGGGACTTAAAGGGAGACTTAGACCCCAATACAATAGTACTGGGGGACTTCAATACTCCACTCTCAGAAATAGACAGATCAACAGGACAGAAGCTCAACAAGGATACAGTAGATTTAAACGACACTATAGCCCAAATGGATCTAACAGATATCTACAGAACTTTCAACCCTACATCTATAGACTTCACATTCTTCTCAGCAGTGCATGGAACCTTCTCCAGGATTGATCACATACTAGGCCATAAAGCAAGTCTCAGCAAATTTAAAAGAATTAGAATCATACCATGCAGCTTCTCAGACCACAGCGGAATGAAGCTGGAAATTAGCAACTCAGGAAACCCCAGAAAGTATGCAAACACATGGAGACTGAACAACATGCTCCTGAATGAACACTGGGTCATTCAAGAAATCAAAAGAGAAATCAAAAACTTTCTGGAAGTAAATGAAGACAACAACACAACATATCAAAACTTATGGGATACAGCAAAAGCAGTATTGAGAGGCAAATTTATAGCAATAGGTGCCTATATCAAGAAATTGGAAAGGTACCAAATAAATGAGCTTTCAGCGCATCTCAAGGACCTAGAAAAACTGCAGCAAACCAAACTCAAATCTAGTAGGAGAAGAGAAATAATTAAAACCAGAGAAGAAATTAACAGGATTGAATCCAAAAAAACATTAAAAAGATCAGCCAAGCGAAGAGCTGGTTTTTTGAAAAAATAAACAAAATTGACACTCCATTGCCCCAACTAACTAAAAAAAGAAGAGAAAAGACCCAAATCAATAAAATCAGAGATGAAAAAGGAAACGTAACAACAGACACCACAGAAATAAAAAGAATCATCAGAAATTACTACAAGGACTTGTATGCCAGCAAACAGGAAAATCTATCAGAAATGGATAGATTCCTGGACACATGCAATCTACCAAAATTGAACCATGAAGACATAGAAAACCTAAATAGACCCATCACTGAAACAGAAATTGAAACAGTAATAAAGGCCCTCCCAACAAAGAAAAGCCCAGGACCAGATGGATTCACTGCTGAATTCTACCAGACATTTAAAGAAGAACTAATCCCATTTCTTCTCAAACTATTCAGAACAATCGAAAAAGAGGGAATCCTCCCAAATTCTTTCTATGAAGCCAGCATCACCTTAACCCCTAAGCCAGAGAAAGATGCAGCACTGAAAGAAAATTATAGACCAATATCCCTGATGAACATAGACGCAAAAATCCTCAATAAAATTCTGGCCAATAGAGTACAACAACACATCAGGAAAATCATCCACCCAGACCAAGTGGGATTCATCCCTGGTATGCAGGGATGGTTCAACATTCACAAATCAATCAATGTGATTCACCACATTAACAGACTGCAGAAGAAAAACCATATGATTATCTCAATTGATGCAGAGAAAGCATTTGATAAAATTCAACACCCTTTCATGATGAAAACTCTAAGCAAATTGGGTATAGAAGGAACATTCCTCAATATAATCAAAGCAATTTATAAAAAACCCACAGCCAGCATCCTATTGAATGGGGAAAAGTTGGAAGCATTTCCACTGAAATCTGGCACCAGGCAGGGATGCCCACTCTCACCACTGCTATTTAACATAGTTCTGGAAGTTTTAGCCAGAGCCATCAGACAAGAAAAAGAAATCAAAGGAATACAAATCAAGAAGGAAGAAGTCAAACTATCCCTCTTTGCAGACGATATGATTCTTTACTTAGAGGATCCAAAGAGCTCTACTAAGAGACTATTGGAACTCATAGAGGAGTTTGGCAAAGTGGCAGGATATAAAATCAATGCACAAAAATCAACAGCCTTTGTATACACAAGCAATGCCATGGCTGAGAAAGAACTGCTAAGATCAATCGCATTCACAATAGCTACAAAAACAATAAAATACCTTGGAATAAACTTAACCAAGGACGTTAAAGATCTCTATGATGAAAATTACAAAACCTTAAAGAAAGAAATAGAAGAGGATACCAAAAAATGGAAAAATCTTCCATGCTCATGGATTGGAAGAATCAACATCATCAAAATGTCCATTCTCCCAAAAGCAATTTATTTTATTTATTTGAAAGACCGAGTTACAGAGAGAGGTAAAGACAAAGAGAGAGGTCTTCCCTCTACTGGTTCTGTCCCCAGACAGCCGCAATGGCTGGAGCTGTGCAATGGCTGGAGCTGAGCAATGGCTGGAGCTGGCCAATCTGAAGCCAGGAACAAGGAGCCTCTTCAGGTCTCCCACATGGGTGCAGGGGCCCAGGGACTTGAACCATCTTCTACTGCTTTCCCAGGCCATAGCAGATAGCTGGATCGGCAGAGGAGCAGCTGGGACTCGAACTGGCACCCATATTGGGGGATGCCTGCGCTTCAGGCCAGGGCTTTAACCCTCTGCACCACAACGCCGGCTCCTATAACTTCATCTTACACAAGGTAGTTTGTTAACTATAAGTTCATCTTGCACAGGGTAGTCTGTTACTCGAACACAACTTCATAGAATCTGTGTGCATCCTGTTTTCTTCAATAGCCATGCTGCTTGCCTCATTATTGATATTTTATCTTTCACTCCCATGAGAACAAACTGACTAGCCATCCTTGAGGAAGGTCTCCATTCCAAGTCCAACCACCTAGTTCAATTATGTGCTTGCTCAAGGCTACCTGGCCATGGTCATTTAAGCCATGATAACTGAAAACTAATTCCACTCGCACCAAATTTCCTCTCAAAGCTTAAATTCCCCTAAAACTTTCCTCGATGTCACATTATTGTGTCTGTCCAGTATTTTGTGTCCTGAGATCCTCCTCAAGAGCTCTACCAGAGCAAGATTTTTCTCATGTTGTCAACAAACTGGAAAGCTGGGGGTGAACCTTCTTCTACCTCCAGAACTTATTGGCAAAAAGGTAGTGCCAGGAAGTATCAGAGTTAGTCTAAAGAGCATCTCAACCCACAGAATATGAGTGTAAATAAGAATAGAATATGACTTCAGAATTATCAGTACAAACTTGGTATTACTATGGTCCCAATTCTTTGTGTTTTCATAAAGACAATAAAAAAAGGACTAGGCTTAAGCTTCTTCGTGGTAACAGCATCATGAGAAAACCAAAAACTCCCTGCCAAATGTAACCAACAGGGATTTTCCAAAGATCAGTCTAGTGCTCCATCGTTAATGAAACTCAGTCACCCTTCCCTGTGTCTACATGTGATTTCTTCTCTTTTTACAATGGCCAGCTTTCTCACTTTCTAACACTGGCTAGAAGGGGAAATCAAAATGCAAGTTTGGGGGGAGGAAGTGAAAGATGTAGTGTGTAGAATAATGACCCCAAATCCAGGAAAGATGTGGAGCTAGAGTCCCTCAGGGAGATTGCAATAGTTACTATGTTTGCAACAAATGAGCTCTGTCCTCTTTTCAAAATCCAAGAAGTTGATGTCCTCACAGTTGGACATACACGATAGTTTTGAATAATGGTACATACTTCGTCCTAAGGAAGGAAAAAAGGGAAATACAACTTTAGTGACTTCACTTACTCCTGTGTTCCTAGGAATAACCTGTCTTCAGGTGCTCACTAACCTTTCTCTAGGTCCTAACGAGCAACAAGTCTATTAATTCCTGACCCAGAAACTGGATTTTATTCTGTGACTGATAAGGGACATTGACTTCTTCTCCACCCAATAATGTCTTCAATGCATCTTTGCCATTCCCTCTACATGACCACCCATCCTCACCCATCCTATTTACTCCACGTACTCTGAAGGCGAAACACCACTGCTTCTAAGAGAAAGAGGTAGTTATTTCTCAGTCACTCTATATCCCATGCTACCTTTTGGGGTAAGTATGTAAAAGTTCTCAATAGCACAGGACTGCTGATACTTCAGGCTGCAGGTCTTCATAGATTCATAACATAGTCCCAGATGGTATCTTTTACATTTGAAGCACATTAGTCTAGTCTCTGTAAGACACAGAAACAGGTACTTAGAAGAGAAGGTTCTCTGAGCATGGGAGCTTCTCTATGGGAAAGCAATATTTCCAGGTGATTCCTAGCTTTCCTTGGGGACACAGACTCCTTTGATAATCTTGTAAAAGAACTGGTACACACATAAATCGAATGCTGTCTATGACTTCGGGAGGTTAGAGTGCCTATAAAATTGATCTATGGAACTCAAGTAATGAACCCCATATCTAGCCTGATGATTTGTCCAGTAATAGGTAAAAGAAAATAAAAAAGGATATTTAACCTGCTTATTCCAAGAAAGGGACTACACATCTTGGTAGGAGGCAGAGGTCCTAGTAATCTATGTTAATAGTGAATGGAGGGGAGGTTTACTCCAAAATGCCACAAATGATCTATTTACAAGGACTCTAGCCCTGCCATGGTCATACCTTTTAGATGGTCTTGAAGTTCACCTATGAGGAAAAGAAAAACCTTCCTTAGAACAATCACACAGACATCTGCCACAGCCCCAAGAGCTAATCTGGAAACGTTCCTTCTCCAAGAAACTGTCCATTTATTAACAAGCTACCAGCTACCACCTTATTTCTAGGACTTACTGCAACATGGACAGAATAGAGAAGCTATGCCCAGCAGAAGTGGAACAAGCATCCTGCAACTTCTGTCACGCGTTGCTTCTTGCAGAAGCTGCTGGTTGTTCTCCTGTCTTCTGTTTCTGAGCTATTCATCCAAATCATTTCATCATAAAATTTCAGGGACATGGAGTGCTTCAACGTTCCCAGAGCCAAGCCACCATATCCAGTTCCCTCACAGCAGTTTAAAGCTGTGTCCAATCTGAAATTGTATAAATTCTCTAATAAAAAAGAAATCATGGTCTTATTAATTGACCAAATCTGTTCCTGCTTCACTGTTGCAGATCTCAGAAAATCTGGAAGAGACAAATTGTGGGACAGATTAGTAATTGTCTTGCCACATCCATAGTTTCATTCTTCCTCTAGTCCATTCCACACAGAGCAACCAAGTGGATCTGAGTGATATTTTTTCCCAACTAAGATCCCAAGACAGAAGGTGGCAAGTATTTTAAATTTCAAAGTGAAGTGTTCTACTTATCCAGTTTTATGGAAATAATGTATAAAAACAAGTTTCAGTATCCAGTGCCTTGTGCTCCCCCAGAGGGTGCAGATACACAGTAAAGTGTCAGAAACTCACACGGAATTTTCTATAATCTAGGATAGGGATCCATTTTTACATAGGGCTTAAAATACAAAATCACTTAAAAAAGATTGAAATGATTTACTGCATTAAAAAGAAACTTTTCTACATAAGGGGAAGACCAACTGCTAACTCATAGAGAAGTCCAAATAACAAATAACCAATAAAAAAGATATTTGTATCAAAGACTAAGGGCTAATCTTACCATACAAAGAAATTTCGAAATTTGATTTTTTTTATTTATTTTTTTTTGATAGGCAGAGTGGATAGTGAGAGAGAGAGACAGAGAGAAAGGTCTTCCTTTGCCGTTGGTTCACCCTCCAATGGCCACCACGGCCGGCGCGCTGCGGCCGGCGCACCGCGCTGATCCAGTGGCAGGAGCCAGGAGCCAGGAGCCAGGAGCCAGGTGCTTTTCCTGGTCTCCCATGGCGTGCAGGGCCCAAGCACCTGGGCCATCCTCCACTGCCTTCCCGGGCCACAGCAGAGAGCTGGCCTGGAAGAGGGGCAACCGGGACAGAATCCGGCGCCCCGACCGGGACTAGAACCCGGTGTGCTGGCGCCGCTAGGTGGAGGATTAGCCTAGTGAGCCGCGGCGCCGGCCTCGAAATTTGATTTTAGAAAGATTAACAATTCAATAGGGAAGTGGGCAGTCAATAATAATCACATGTAGATCACAGAAAAAGAAAGAAAAATATTCTTAAACATGTGAAATATGTTAAGCCTTGCTCCTAATTTGAGTAATATAATTTTTTAAACTTTTATTTAATAAATATAATTTTCCAAAGTAGAGCTTATGGAGTACAATGGTTTCCCCCCCACCATAACGTCCCTCCCACCCGCAACCCTCCCCTTTCCCACTCCCTCCCGCCTTCCATGCACATCAAGAATCATTTTCGATTCTCTTTATATACAGAAGATCAGTTTAGCATATATTAAGTAAAGATTTCCACAGTTTGCACCCACATAGAAACACCAAGTGAAAAATACTGTTTGAGTCATAGCATTAAATCTCAATGTACAGCACATTAAGGACAGAGATCCTACATGAGGAGTAAGTGCACAGTGACTCCTGTTGTTGACTTAACAAATTCACACTCTTGTTTATGGCATCAGTTATCTGTGGAAGCCTTTTGAGTTCACCGACTCTGAGCATATTTAGACAACGTCGTAGTCAAAGTGGAGGTTCACTCCTCCCTTCAGATAAAGGTACCTCCTTCTTTGATGACCCATTCTTTCCACTGGGATCTCACTCGCGGAGATCTTTCATATAGGGTTTTTTTTTTTTTTTTTGGCCAGGGTTTTTGGCTTTCCATGCCTGAAATACTCTCATGGGCTTTTCAGCTGGATCCAAATGCCTTAAGGGCTGATTCTGAGGCCAGAGTGCTGTTTAGGACATCTGCCATTCTATGGGTCTGCTGTGTATCTCACTTCCCATGTTGGATCGTTCTCTCCCTTTTTTATTCTATCAGCTAGTATTTGCAGACACTAGTCTTGTTTATGTGCTCCCTTTGGCTCTTAGTCCTATCATTATGATCAATTGTGAACAGAAATTGATCACTTGGACTAGTGAGATGGCATTGGTACATGCCACCTTGATGGGATTGAATTGGAATCCCCTGGTATGTTTCTAACTCTACCATTTGAGGTAAATCAGCTTGAGCATGTCCCGAATTGCACATCTCTTCCCTCTCTTATTCCCACTCTTATATTTAACAGCAATCACTTTTCAGTTAAGTTTCAACACTTGAGAATAACTGTGCATTGATTACAGTATTCAACCAAAAGTATTAAGTAGAACAAACAAACAAAAATACTAAGAAGGATAACGTATTAAGTTGTTCATCAACAGTCAGGGCAAGGGCTGATCAAGTCACCATTTCTCATAGTGTTCATTTCATTTTAACAGGTTTCCTTTTTGGTGCTCAGTTAAACATGTGAAATATGTTAAGCCTTGCTCCTAATTTGAGTAATATAAATTAAAACTAAACTCAGACACTAATTTTACTTCACAGATTGACAATAATCTGAACTTGATGACATCACTGAGTTGGTAAGATTGCAGTAAATCAAGCACTGCCATATATGGCTCGTGGGGCTCGTGGGGCATATGAGTTAGTGCATTAGTAAGGAGGAAAATTCAACAACAGCTTTCAACATCATACAGATACAGTAAACATAGTAATTCTCTGGAATTATTAGCATTGTTTTTAGAATTTATCAGGTAAAAAATAGATGAGTAGGTGACAAAAATATCTAATTCAAATATAATGCTACAAAGTTGTTAGTTGCTGTTTTATCACAATTATATCTCCTTTATTTTACACTAAGAATCCTGGCTCTCCAGGGTGCAGCATTAGAGTATAATAAAATCTAAGCTATATATGTTTATTTAATATATATTATATAATAAGAGAGTAAAAAGTTTGTGGAAAATGGAACTTAAAGGTAAGCTTATTTTGATGCAAAATATTTGAAATACATGCATATGCAGGGTCTTGAAAGGTTCATGAATATGCATATTATGAGAAAACTGCATAGATGTTTATTGCATAGTTATAATGTGGTGTATATAGAATAGAACAATAGGGGCTGGCATTGTGGCATAGCAGGTAAAGCTACCACCTGCAATGCTGGCATCCTTTGTGGGTGGGATTTGAGACCTGGCTGCTCTATTTCGGATCCAGCTCCCTGCTAATGTGCCTGGGAAAGCAGTGGAAGATGACCCAGTTGCTTGAGTCCCTGCACCAATGTGGGAGACCCAAAAGAATCTCCTGACTCTTGGCTTTGGCCTAGACCAGCTCCAGGCCATTGCAGACATTTGAGGAATGAACCAGCAGATGGAAGATATCTGTCTCTCTGTCTCTTCCTCAATCTGTGCAACTCCGTCTTTCAAATAAATGAATAAATAAATAAATAAATATTTTTTAAAAAAACAATTAAAAAAGAAAGTCAAAAAGAGTCAGTAAAGGATTATAACAACATTTTAAAAAATAGAACAACATTAGAATGGAATGGAATTAGAATATCCTATAATCAGTCACTGCTTTACCCAATATTAAACATCTAACAGCCTAAGCATAATGATACTATTATCACCACCAATTATGGTTACTAAAATATCTTCACATTTTGTTTGTATCCTCTGCTTTCATACCCACCACAATCTGCTACCCATGTGGGAGACCTGGAAGAAGCTCCTGGCTCCTGTCTTTGGCCTGGCCCAGTGCTTGCCATTACAGTCATCTGAGGAGTGTACCACTGGATGGAAGATATTTCTCTCTGTCTCTCCCTCTCTTTCCATAATTCTTACTTTCAAATAAATAATTCTTTTCAAAAAGTTCAAAGAACATTTTTATGAGGTTTCATAAATTCTACAAGAATATGTTTCAGTGTTAATCATTCTAAGTCAATATTCTCAGGTATATAATATACTAATTCAATGTTGTTGGTTTTTTTTTTTTTTTTTGCTTTTATTTTTTTTGACAGGCAGAGTGGACAGTGAGAGAGAGAGACAGAGAGAAAGGTCTTCCTTTGCCGTTGGTTCACCCCCCAATGTCCGCTGCAGCCGGTGCACTGCGCTGATCCAAAGGCAGGAGCCAGGTGCTTCTCCTGGTCTCCCATGGGGTGCAGGGCCCATCCTCCACTGCACTCCCGGGCCACAGCAGAGAGCTGGACTGGAAGAGGAACAACCGGGACAGAATCTGGCGCCCCAACCAGGACTAGAACCCGGGGTGCCGACGCTGCAGGCGGAGGATTAGCCTATTGAGCTGCGGCAATGGCCTACCAATTCAATTTTTTAAAAATCATTGGTGATGAGCAACTTAATATGTTATCCCTCTTAGTATTTTTTTGTTTGTTCTACTTAATACTTTTGGTTGAATACTGTAATCAATACACAATTATTTTTTTTTTAGTTTTTTAATTTTTTTATTTTTATTTTTTTGACAGGCAGAGTGGACAGTGAGAGAGAGAGACAGAGAGAAAGGTCTTCCTTTGCCGTTGGTTCACCCTCCAATGGCCGGCGCGGCCGGTGCGCTGCAGCCGGCTTACCGCGCTGATCCGATGGCAGGAGCCAGAAGCCAGGTGCTTTTCCTGGTCTCCCATGGGGTGCAGGGCCCAAGCACCTGGGCCATCCTCCACTGCACTCCCTGGCCACAGGAGAGAGCTGGCCTGGAAGAGGGGCAGCCGGGACAGAATCCGGCGCCTCAACCGGGACTAGAACCCGGTGTGCTGGCGCCGCTAGGCGGAGGATTAGCCTAGTGAGCCGCGGCGCCGGCCTATACACAATTATTCTTACGTGCTGAAACTTAACTGAAAAGTGATCACTGTTAAATAAAAGAGTGGGAATAAGAGAGGGAAGAGATGTACAATTTGGGACATGCTCAAGCTGACTTACCTCAAACAGTAGAGTTAGAAACATACCAGGGGATTCCAATTCAATCTCATCAAGGTGGCATGTACCAATGCCATCTCACTAGTCCAAGTGATCAATTTCTGTTCACAATTGATCATAATGATAGGACTAAGAGCCAAAGGGAGCACATAAACAAGACTAGTGTCTGCAAATACTAGCTGATAGAATAAAAAAGGGAGAGAACGATCCAACATGGGAAGTGAGATACACAGCAGACCCATAGAATGGCAGATGTCCTAAACAGCACTCTGGCCTCAGAATCAGCCCTTAAGGCATTTGGATCCAGCTGAAAAGCCCATGAGAGTATTTCAGGCATGGAAAGCCAAGACACTCTGGGGGAAAAAAAACCCTATATGAAAGATCTCCGTGAGTGAGATCCCAGTGGAAAGAATGGGTCATCAAAGAAGGAGGTACCTTTCTCTGAAGGGAGGAGAGAACTTCCACTTTGACCATGGCCTTGTCTAAATATGATCAGAGTCGGTGAACTCAAAAGGCTTCCATAGCCTTGGCAACTCATGACAAGAGCCTAGGGTGATTACTGATGCCATAAACAAGAGTGTGAATTTGTTAAGTCAACAACAGGAGTCACTGTGCACTTACTCCTCATGTAGGATCTTTGTCCTTAGTGTGCTGTACATTGAGATTTAATGCTATGACTAGTACTCAAACAGCATTTTTCACTTTATGTTTCTATGAGGGAGCAAACTGTTGAAATCTTTACTTAATGCATGCTAAACTGATCTTCTGTATATAAAGAGAATCGAAAATGAAGCTTGATGTGAATGGAAGGGGAGAGGGAGTGGGAAAGGGGAGGGTTGTGGGTGGGAGGGATGTTATGGGGGGAAGCCATTGTAATCTATAAGCTGTACTTTGGATATTTATATTCATTAAATAAATGTTAAAAAAAATCATCCAGAAAAATTTTTTGAATGATTGTTAATTTTTAGTATTTGTTCTGTTTTTTTTTTTCCTTGGGTTTTTCTTTTCAGGAGCTCCTATTATGTATACATTGAATCATTTTTGTCAGAAAGTGAACATTGTTAAGTCTTTAAGTCTCATTCTTTATTTTAGATTTCAAATTTTTCTTCCTTTTGCTATTTCTCTAAGGATAATATTTGTTTGTTCTTACTTCACCTTTATTTACATTGAGAGGGGCATCCCATCATGAATCCTGAGTATCACTGCACATTCTTCTTGGGCTTGCCAAGAATGCGAGACCCTGACCACTCCTTGCCTAGGCTGTCTCTCAATGGTATGTTGGCAGTGAGAAGCCTTGCAGGATGAGGTGGCACTCACCCAGGAGAGAGCAGGCTTGCTCTCACTTAGTAAATAAGTGGTATATACCTCAATTTCAGTGTTCACAATGAGATAACATCAACCTAGCCCTCTCTAGTCTCCTCCTGTGGAACCCAGGGGACTATGAAGCTCTGGCTTCTGCTTTTACCATAAATAATAAGATTCTTTGTTTCTAACCCAGGAATCTTGTTTCTTCCACCGATATCCATAAAAATAATAACAAACTATCTTCTTAGCTTGTAGGTAGGATAAAATCCCAGAACCCTGTAATCCTTGACAGTTATGGAGATGACGTTGATATGGTAGCAGGGACCATCTCTCTGGAAGAAAAAAGTCAAAGGTTCCCAATAGACTGGGTACGCAATAAGAGAAGACTTCCTGGGATCCAGTAAGTGCTTCCACCCAAATTTGGGGCAAGGTAACAGCAACCCAAATATCATGACTGTCTTAGATTTCTATTACTGCATAATAGCTTACCATGGACAAAGGCTTAAAATAATATCAATTTATTATCTAACAGTTTCTATAAGTCAGAAGTGTCAACATAACCTGACTGGATTCTCTGCTTAGGAGAGAATCAGGTGATTTCACATCAAGGTGAAATCAAAGTATCATCAAAGCCTATCATTCTTATCTGGAGCCCAGGAACTAACAACTTTGCCCAACAACCCAAGAAGAACTGAATCCTGCCAGTCTATGTGAGTGAGGTTAGAAATAAATTATCCTTAAGGGGAGCCACAGGATTATTCCACCTTGGATATAGGCTGCAAGAGACTCTCAGGCAAAGTACTCAGCTAACCCACACCCAGATTCCTGACCAACGGAAATACTGAGATAATCAGTTCTATTATTTCAAGACATTAAGGTTTGGGAAATTGGTTACACAACAGTGCAGAACTAATATAATGATCAAAAGTACCAAGAACAATAGGGCAAACCACAGTTGCTCATGTGGGAACAAAAAGAGCATCAGAGGCTGGGAGATACATGTGGGAAGCAAGGTGCCAACAATGACAGAAAGCCTTCCTACCGCTTTGCCAGCTCTCCCCTCCAGACTAGCCTTCTCCTTCCTGTGCCTTCCAGTCCTGACCAGAGAATAACGAACTCTTCACAGCTTGCTGCACTTTGGATATTACATTTGATGTTCTCTAAAGTTCCATGTCTAGAAGCTTGGTCCCATAGTGGTACTATGGTGGAGGAGGGTGGAGACTGGATCCAATGATGCTGCAGATTCCTCAGGTCGCTAGGCTCTCTCCTAGGATCATATTCTGAAAGCAATCAGTCCACAATATTTTTCTATGTAAATTAAAAATATTGGCTGCAAAAATCCTACAGGAAAGCAACTTTGGTAGAAGCAAAAGGAAAGTATTTGATCAACTTTGAATGAAGTGAAAATCTGCTGTTTGAACTTAAGACTACTGCAATCATGAATAACAGTATCCTCTTTTATGATAATAAGTGAGCAAGTTCCCCTTTTATTTTCATATTCTTATTGACTCTTTCATCTTTTCTTTTTTTAACTTTTATTTAATAAATATAAATTTCCAAAGTACAACTTTTGGATTATAGTGGCTTTTCCCCCATAACCTCCCTCCCACCTACAACCATCCCAGCTCCCACTTCCTCTCCCATCCCATTCTTCATCAAGATTCATTTTCAATTATCTTTATATACAGAAGATCAATTTAGTATATACTAAGTAAAGATTTCAACAGTTTGCACCCAAACAGATACACAAAGTATAAAGTGCTGTTTAAAGACTAGTTTTACCACTAATTCACATAGTACAATACATTAAGGACAGAGATCCTACATGGGGAATAAGTGCACAGTGACTCCCATTGTTGATTTAACAATTGACACTCTTATTTATGATGTCAGTAATCACCCAAGGCTCTTGTCATGAGCTGAAGGCTATGGAAGCCTCTTGAGTTCACCAACTCCGACCTTATTTAGACAAGGTCTTAGTCAAAGTGGAAGTTCTCTCCTCCCTTCAGAGAAAAGTACCTCCTTCTTTGATGGCCTGTTCTTTCCACTGGGATCTCACTGGCAGAGATCTTTCATTTAGGTCATTTTTTTTGGAACAGTGTCTTGGCTTTCCATGCCTGAGAAACTCTCATGGGCTCTTCAACCAGATCCGAATGCCTTAAGGGCTGATTCTGAGGCCAGAGTGCTGTTTAGGACATCTGCCATTCTATGAGTCTGCTGTGTATCCTGCTTCCCATGTTGGATCATTCCTTTTTAATTCTTTCAGTTAGTATTAGCAGACACTAGTCTTGTTTATGTGATCCCTTTGACTCTTAGACCTACCAGTATGATCAATTATGAACTGAAACTGATCACTTTGACTAGTGAGATGGCATTGGTACATGCCAACTTGGTGGGATTGAATTGGAATCCCCTGGCATGTTTTTAACTCTACCATTTGGGGCAAGTCTGATTGAGTATATCACAAATTGCACATCTCTTTCCTCCCTTATTCCCACTCTTTTATTTAACAGGGATCACTTTTCAGTTAAATTTAAACACCTAAGAATAATTGTGTGTTAATTAAAGAGTTCAACCAATGGTATTAAGTAGAACAAAAAAATACTAAAGGGAGTAAAATAGTAAGTTATTCCTCGACAGTCAGGAGAAGGGCTGATCAAGTCCTTGTTTCTCATAGTGTCCGTTTCATTTCTACAGGTTTCTTTTTAGGTGCTCAGTTAGTTGTCACTGATCAGGGAGAACATATGATATTTGTCCCTTTGGGACTGGCTTATTTCACTCAGCATGATGTTTTCCAGATTCTTCCATTTTGCTGTAAATGACTGGATTTCATTGTTTTTTTTACTGCTGTATAGTATTCTATAGAGTACATGTCCCATAATTTCTTTATCCAGTCTACTGTTGATGGGCATTTAGGTTGATTCCATGTCTTAGCTATTGTGAATTGAGCTGCAATAAAAACATTGAGGTGCAGACTGTTCTTTTATTTGCCAATTTAATTTCCTTTGGGTAAATTCTGAGGAGTGGGATGGGATGGGGCTGGGTCATGTGGTAGGGCTATATTCAGGTTTCTGAGGAATCTTCAAACTGTCTTCCACAGTGTGCCACTTAATTTTTAATGAACTTTATTAAATTATGATTGAAATAAAATAAAGCTTAGCCATGGTAACTATGTAATCAATGAGTTTTGACAAATGCATGCACCCTCTGTAACTCTCACTAAAATCAAATTATGAAACCTTTGTAGCACTACAAAATGTTTCTTGGGACCTTTAAAATAAAACTCATCCCACCCATGACCCCAAGCAATGGCTGGTTTGTTTTCTGTCAATATGGAATATATTTGCATTTAATAGAATTTTATTTTTAAAAGGAAGAGCTGCAGTGAGCAGTTATGTATATGTCTTTATGAGTATAGGTTTTCATTTATCTTGGTAAAGTTCTAGGGAATGGGATTGCCCAGTTGTACAGTCAACACATATTTGACTTCATAGGAAGCTGACAAACTGCTTCAAAGTGATTTACCATTGTGCATTCCTATCAGCCAGATATGAGAGTCCCAGTTGCTCCACCTTTTTGTCAATATTTGGCATTTTCATTTTCATTTTAGCTAGTCTGGTAGGTACATATGATATCTCTTTATACTTTCAACTGATATCTTCCTGATGTGAACCATAAAGTGACTCCCTGTGTAATCTTCCCACTTTGGGTGTGATAAGAATCTGTGAACTACACTTTCAGACCCTTAACATTGCCATTAGGTAATCAAAGGGCTGAATTGAAATGAAACTCTGTTTCCTTTATGGGTAGCAAATTTGTGTCTTGTTTAAGAAAACAGGGCTCCATAAACATAAACACATTCACTTTTGTTTTAAGTTATTTATGTTTTTAATTTCCTATTTAAATCTGCCATCCATCTGAAAATTATTTCTGTGGGTTATGGAGTAGGGGTCATTATTAGTAAATACATACAGCAAAACATCATGTTGTATACTATAAAAACATACAATTTTATTGTCAATAAATAAGCCATTTTAAATATTAAATGAAGGTAGATTAGTGGTACTTTTCCCACATGAATCCCAAATACACTAACACTCTGTAAAAAATCAGCCTGACCTCTTTGTTACACTTTACCTATGTAACAAACATACATCCATCGGTCTGCTTCTCAGCCTTTACCACGGTATCATTCTTCTGACTTCTGTAGTTCTCCATTAAGCCATACATGGTAGTGTCTTTCTGCTTTTTCCATCATCTCCAACTCAACTATGAGTCAAAATATTGGAAAACCTATAAGAAATAGCTTAATTTTTGGATATGCGTAACTCATGAAAAATGAACCAGGAAAACAGAGGAAACCTGAACATACAAATAACAAGTAATGAAATTTAATCAGTAATAAAATATCTCCTAATAAAGAAAAGCACAGAACCAGATGGCTTCACTGCTGAATTCTACCAAAATTTTAAGGAAGAACTTATACTAAGTTCTTTCAACCAATTGCAAAAAATTGAAATGGAAGGGACAATTGTGAAGTCATTCTACAAGGCCAGCATTACTGTGATTCCAAAACCATACAAGGATGCAACAAAAAAAAAAAACTATAGATAAATATCCTTCATTAAATACAGAATCAAAAAACGGGAACAAAATTGCAAATTGAATAAAAAAAACGCATCAGTAAATCATATACCACGTTCAAGTGGGATTTATCCCACGGATGCTGGGATAGTTCAACATACTCAAATCAGTAAACACAACACACTATATCAACAGAATGAAAGTTAAACAATCATTTGATCAACTCAATAGATGCAGAAAAACATTTGATAACAATGAATTATCTATTCATATTTAAAACCTTGAACAAATTAGGTACAGAAGGAATATACATCAAGATCATAAAGGCTATGTAAACAAGCACACAGCCAACATAATATGGATTGGGTAAAAGATGAAAGAGTTTCTTCTGTGATACAGGAGAAGATAAAGATATCTATTCCCCGGGCCGGTGCTTTGGTGTAGCGGGTAAAGCCGCCACCTGCAGTGCTGGCATCCCATATGGGTGCAAGTTCAAGACTCGGCTGCTCCACTTCCCATCGAGCTCTCTACTAAGGCATGGAAAGCAGTAGAAGATGGCTCAAGTCTTTGGGCCCCTGCACCCACGAGGGAGACCTGAAAGAAGCTCCTGGGTCCTGGCTCCTGGCTTCGGATCGGCATCGTTCCAGCTGTTGCAGCCGTCTGAGGAGTGAACCAGTGGATGGAAGACCTCTTTCTCTTTCTCTCTCTCTCTCTCTCTCTCTCTCTCTCTATCTATCTCTCCTCTCCCTCTCCCTCTCCCTCTCCCTCTCCCTCTCTCTCTGTGTAACTGTGACTTTCAAGTAAAATAAACAAATCTTAAAAAAAAAATAAAATAAAGATATCCATTCTCAGTGCTCTGACTCAACGTAACTCTGGAAGTTTTTTTCAGATCAATTAGGCAAGAGAAATAAATAAAAGACATACAAGAGGAAGAAGTCAAAGTATCCCTGTATAAAGATGACATGATTCTATATAGAGAGAAGCCCAAAAAATCCACCAAGAGACAATTAGTACTGATTAATGAATTCAGTAAACTGCAGGATACAAAATCACATAAAAGTCAATAGCATGGTTTATACCAATAACTAACTTACTGAGAATGAAATTATAAGAGCAATCTTCTCCACAATAGCTACAAAAAATACCTTAGAATGAATTTAATGATGTGAAAAACCTCTACAATGAAAACTACAAAATACTAATGAAAGAAATGGAATATATGTTCCAAAAAGGAAAAAATTTCCACATTCATGATATCAAATAATTAAATAATTAATTAAACCATTAAATTTACATAAAATATACATCCTATATAAAGCAACTTACAAATTTAACACAATATGCATAAAAATATCAATAATATTCTTAACATAAGTTATGAACATAATCCTAAAATTCATTTGGAAGCACAAAGGACCCTGAAGAGCCAAAGAAATCCTGAGTAGAAGAAGTTGAAGGCGTCATTGAACCACTTCTCAAGATATACTACAGAGTTTTTGTAACAAAACAACACTGTACTTGTACAAAAACAGTTACATAGACCAACACAACAGAAAAGACATCACAGAAATCAACTCATGCTTGTACAGCTAACTGATCTTTGAAAAATGCACCAAAAACATTTGCAAATTATGCATGATGAAAAATTAATATTCAGAATATATAAGGAATTCGGAAAACTCCACAACAAACAATCCAGTTAAAAATGAGTAAAAGATCTGAATAGACATTTCTCAAAAGAAGTATGAACTGTCAGCAAATACATGAAAAAATTCTCAAATGAGATTTCCGGCAAGATGGCGGAATAGGAAGGGAGCACACTGATAGTCTGGGGAGAGATAGTTTAATAAAAGTGGAGATACTGCAGGTTCAAGGAAGAGTAGGGGAGGAAACAGCAGAAGAAACTCTTCCGGAACGCGTGACTCACAGCGGACCTGCGTGGAGAGCGTGGGAGCCCACAGTTCGGGACACCAGCGGCAGACTCAACACACCAGCGCTGGAACGCGAGGTGAGCCGAACCTCAATAGCCCGAGACACCGGCAGGCAAGCGGAGAGAGGAGACTAGAGGGAACGACCCCCGGGGGGGGGGAAGTTCACAAGGCTAACTGGAAGAGAGAGAGAGAGAGAGAAAAAAGGGTGACTAGTACGGACACGGGTTTCTCTCTCTCCGCTCACCTCTCAAGGGTGAGCAAGACAAAGAGCAGGCGCCATCTTGGACATACGTCATAAGCAGAGCGACCTCAGGTCTGCACCGGCCCTGAGCCTAGCAGAAAAACCTGACTCTGGGCTGGGGCAAATTAACAGGAGATTAGGACCTAGTAAATTTGTGGTGCTACTGAACTGAGACTGTGAAAAAAGAGACGGTGGGGGAGAGAACTCACGGAATTCACGTGAGCACTCTCCAGAGACGCTACAATTCCGTAACTTTGGCAACCCAGTGGGAGGCTGAAGGAGAATTTGAGCCCACTCTGAGGGCCGAACAGATTCCCTTTGGGGATCTTGGGAAAGAGCTTCCGATCTCTGGCTCCTGTGGGTATATCATTTGCCTGCTAACTACCTCCAACTTCGTTCAGCTGTGCGGAATTACTTCCCTTTTGAATCAAAAAAAAAAGAGAGAGAGAGAGAGAGAGATTTACCACGCCTAACCTGGGAGTGTCACCTTTGGCACACCAAACAGAGCTCTCAGGCCACACCCATCTCAAGCCCTAAGGCTCCATCAAAAACAGATAGTCCACTTAATCTAGAGTCATAGTATAACAAGAAAAAGCACCACAGTGAAGAAACCAAATATCTCCAATATGCCAAATAACAAACGCAAAAACCGAGGTAATAAAAACAACGAAGTCACCATGACGCCCTCAAATGAAAAAGACACCCCAATTCAAGATTATGAAGATGATGACATAGAAGAAATGCAAGAAGCAGATCTCAAAAAATTGATAAGAACATTAAGAAGTTCTCAAAAACAAATTCTGGAACTACACAAATCCTTAATGGACAAGATAGAAAATCTCTCTCGTGAAAATGAAATATTAAGGAGGAATCAAAATGAAACGAAACAACTAGTACAACAGGAAACTGTGATAGTGACTGAAGTGAAGAATTCAATAGATCAAATGAAAAACACAATAGAGAGCCTTACAAACAGAATGGGTGAAGCAGAAGAGAGAATATCGGACTTAGAAGACAGAGAACAGGAAAGGATACAGTCAGACCAAAGAAAAGACGAGGAAATTAGAAATCTGAAACATATTGTCGGGAATCTTCAGGATACTATTAAAAAACCCAACATTCGGGTTCTAGGAGTTCCTGAAGGCATGGAGAGGGAGAAAGGATTAGAAGGCCTTTTTAGTGAGATATTAGCAGAAAATTTCCCAGGTTTGGAGAAGGACAGAGAAATCCTAGTACAGGAAGCCCACAGAACCCCTAATAAACACGACCAAAAGAGATCCTCACCACGACACGTTGTAATTAAACTCTCCACAGTGAAACATAAAGAAAAGATCCTAAAATGTGCACGAGAGAAACGTCAGATTACTCTCAGAGGATCTCCAATCAGACTCACAGCTGACTTCTCATCAGAAACTCTAAAAGCTAGGAGGGAATGGCGAGATATAGCCCAGGTACTAAGAGAGAACAACTGCCAGCCCAGAATATTATATCCTGCAAAGCTATCATTTGTGAATGAAGGTGAAATAAAGACTTTTCATTGCAAACAGAAATTGAAAGAATTTGTTGCCACTCAGTCCAGCCCTGCAAAAGATGCTTAAAGATGTGTTACACACAGAAACACAGAAACACGGTCATCAATATGAAAGAAGGTAAAGGAAGGAAACCAAGGAAGGAAACCTCACAGCAAAAGATCACAGGGAATTCAAAGCATATATTAGAACTTATCTTTGGCAAATGGCAGGGCAAAGTTACCACTTATCATTAGTCACTTTGAACGTGAATGGCCTGAACTGTCCAGTTAAAAGACACCGATTGGCTGATTGGGTTAAGGAACAAAACCCATCTATTTGCTGCTTACAAGAAACACATCTTTCCAACAAAGATCCATACAGACTGAAAGTGAAAGGCTGGAAAAAGATATACCATGCCAACAGAAATGAAAAAAGAGCAGGGCGTAGCCATCTTAATATCGGACAACATAAACTTTACCACAAAAACTGTTAAGAGAGACAAAGAGGGACACTATATCATGATTAAGGGATCAATTCAACAGGAAGATATAACAATTATCAATGTATATGCACCTAACTACAGGGCACCAGTTTATCTAAAAGATTTATTAACGGACTTAAAGGGAGACTTAGACCCCAATACAGTAGTACTGGGGGACTTCAATACTCCACTCTCAGAAATAGACAGATCATCCAGTCAGAAGATCAACAAGGATACAGTAGATTTAAACGACACTATAGCCCAAATGGATCTAACAGATATATACAGAACTTTCAATCCTACAGCTAAAGATTTTACATTCCTCTCAGCAGTACATGGAAGCTTCTCTAGGATTGACCACATACTAGGCCATAAAGCAAGTCTCAGCAAATTCAAAAGAATTAGAATCATACCATGCAGCTTCTCAGACCATAAAGGAATGAAGTTGGAAATTAGCAACTCAGGAATCCCTAGAGCATACGCAAACACATGGAGATTGAACAACATGCTCCTGAATGAACAATGGGTCATAGAAGAAATCAAAA